AAGGTAGCAGTTCCCTGTTGTAGATCAGGCACAGTTGTGAGCGTGACATTGATGAATCAGCCCATTTACAAATCTACTGTGAACTAGAACGAGAAATGCCCCCTCTTTTGGGAATGGCCTAAAGACTCTTCAGTCAGTGGCACCACCCCGGGGGAAGGTTGGGAGGGGGGGGGTGTCTTCTGCGTGCGACAGCAATGCGCCTAACTCTTCCACGACAGACGCCGGTGAGCAGTACACGCGCATAGGTCAAATAGATCAATTTTATGAGGTTTTTTTTCTAATCCAGAATGAGATTTTTTTTAAAAACTAGATGTAATTATTGTTATATTTAGTATTTTTTTTAAAAACAACTTTTGGGTGGTAGATTGTTTTTTTTTTTAAAAACAAAAACACAAACAACGAAAAATAAACCCCAACATGAACAGCAAAAACAAAAACAATATGTTAATGGACATATTAATATGTATTCCTAAACGTAAAATAGTTAATGACTCACGATCATAACATGGTCGCTTTAAAGCACAAGGGGGCTATCCTTAAAAAATCAAAAATGCTGTTTGAGAAAACCGAAGTGTTCGGACTCCTCTCCAGGTTCTTTTAAAAGACAAGGAGAATTTTCTCTATAACCAAACAAATATACACACCACTGAGACCAAACTTCCCCTCTAGGTGGGACCATGCCCACTTTTGGTGTAGGTGAAGATTTCTGGAAACCCCCGAAATCTGGGTTAGTCCGCTTGTCCTTCAAAGCGACACTATTAATATGCGCTCTGTGAGGTTCCGTTTTCACTTGGGTAGTCACACCAGAGCACCCGCCAACCACCCACTCTCTAGTGGTTCGACTACCGGGCTTGCAACCCTGAGGTTGTGGGTTCGGGGTTTCGAGCCTCAGGCCCAACGTTGTTTGTGTCCTAGAGAAAGGAACTTTACACGAATTTTCCTCACTTCACAAAGGTGGGGGCGCGATCATATGGCCTTATGCAGTTGCGAGCGCCGTAAAACCCCATACTAAACTAAAACAAAGGTGGGAATGGATACCCGACCATAGACAGCGAAAGATCTTGTCAGTACATGTATGTTAGTGTTTTAGCGCCTATAAATGGCTGCTTACACTGTATACTGTCCAGGAAGATGAGTTTGTTTCAGAATGCTCTCAAGTCTGCTGGGGTGATAGTATAGATTGTAAAGCGCATAGAGCTTGCTGTTGAGAGGGGATTTGCGTTATATAGATGCTATCTATCTATTATTATTATTGCAATTGAAAAAAAACAACAACAACGTTTGAGCTGTAAGTACGTGTATTTTTCTTTAAACAAAAACACAAACAACGAGAAATAAACCCCATAAACGTGAGATTGTGTGTTCGGGGGTTCGAACCCCAGCCCGACGTTGTGTCCTTGGGAAAGGCACTTTACAGACACCAATTTGCCTCACCTTACCCAGGTGAGAATGGGTACCCGGCGAGGTGGTAAATATAGTTTAGCGCCTCGGTACCCGGCCATAGACAGCGAACGATGTTTTCATTATTTTATTTACTTACTCTCTCCCTGTACCTACAGGTATATAAGGCGGAGTTTCCGTGTTTTAGCGCCTATTTTAAAAAAAATGGTAGCTGGCACTGTATGCTTCCATGGAAGTTGAGATTGTGTGTAGGTGTTTATTTGTGTATGAGTGTGTGTGTGTGTGTGTGTGTGTTTATGTGGGGGGGGGGTATTATCGTTGTTGGATGGTTGGGTTCTTTGGATCCTTTTAGGGGGTGGTGGGGGTGGGGGTAGGATTGGGGAGGGGGGGGGGGGTGGTTCTCTCATTTTGTCCTGTTCCGTTTTCTTTCCTGTCCAGGTTACCTTTCTATTGGCCGTCAAGAGGACATCATGTTTTTTCTTGGCACAGGTAAAATTCTCGTGGTCTAGAGGATATGATGTTCACCTCTTATGCAATAGGTCCCGGGTTCGAATCCTGACAGCAAAGGGAAAATTTAGTTCTCTAAAATGTTCTCCTTTCACCTCCTTTCCCTGCTCTCTCATCATGTTCTGTCATCAGCTTTCGTCTCCACTTTCTGCCCCTCCCCCCCCCCTGCCCCCTCCTCTGGGCTCCGAACTCTTTCAGCAGCCTTTCTACTCCTACTCCTTATTGCGGTCCTTCAGCCATACCCCCTGATCTTAGGGTAGGTAAGATCCATAACACCTAGCCTTTTTGGATAAAGGCGAAATATCTCAGATGTCCCCTGTGCAAGTTGTGCATGTTAAAGATCCCTTGGTGGTCCAAAATTGACGAGAGTACACTTCGGCCGCCACCCATGCAAATTTCAAAATTAATTCCTCCCAGAAAATGTAAAATGTGTCCTATGTACTCATGTGACCTTATAATACAGATGATAGCACCATGAAACACTTAACAACAACAACAATAAGATAAAGCGAAAGAAATCAAGGCGCTTATTACGACTGCAAATTATCTGTTCACCATTACATGAGTGAAGAGAAAGAGAGACGGAGAACGAGAGAGAGATATATATATAGAGAGAGACACAGAGACAAAGAAAGAGCGATGTGTATATATATATATATATATATATATATATATATATATATATATATATGTGAGGTGTGCTGACAAAATGAGTTACTTCTCACTGTCCAGGAATGGACATATCGGCCGAAAATCGACACTGTGGTCAGATTTATAGATTTCTTATTGATACCATTTTGTTCAAGTCTACCATGTCTTTTATTCGTCCATACTTACAAACTGTACAAACTTCACCAATAAAGTTGATGTATCAATTTCCGTAAGGCTAAAATCGGAGAAGTAACTCATTTTGTCAGCGCACCTCACATATATATATATATGGAGAGGGAGAGAGATAGGGAGACAGAGAAAGAGAGGGAGAGAGAGAGAGAGAGAGATAGGGAGACAAAAAGGGAGAGAGAAAGAGAGAGAGAGAGAGAGGGAGGGGGGGGGGGAGGGAGAGAGAGAGAGAGAGACAGATCACTACCAAAGCCTTTCGGGTTCTATACACCCATTTACCCAAGGGAATGCACAAAAATTCAGGAGTTCACAAGATTATTTCATCTCATTCTTTAATCTTTAAACACATCTTTATATGCAAAAATTATGAAGGATAATATTATATTTAACACCAATAGGATAAACTGCATTCAACATTTAACTCATCTACCAAACATGGAACATTGAAAATGATAGTCATACAACACGTGATTAAAAAAGGTAGCAAAAAATGAGTAGTGTAAACTCCGTGGAAGTCCCTCGTATATATATGTATATATACATCTATATTATATATAATATGCATAAGTAAACTTTGTGTTGGGCTGGCCGTTTGAGAGTGAAAGAAAGAAAAAAAAAACTGTTGCAAGAAACACAACCAGCTGAAAATGCCAACAATTCTATGACGATGATTAGATTCATGTAATTTGAGAATTAAGATCAAGTTTTTGTTAACGTTAAAGCAAAACGGAACACAAAATGTTAGCTCTTAAGCACACTAAATTGCTCCGAAAACTATCATAGTGATTATAACCAGAATAACAGACTAGTAGTACAAGTCCTGATTTTCAGGAAAAAAAACGAAATTTTAAAATGTGAGCAGGGTCCCTTCAGCTTAGTTAGTTTGAAATTTCTAAAAGGAAAAACTGGTGCACATCAGACTTATTGAAGGCTTTATTAAAGGTGCAATCAACAATTAATAGAATATGAACTATGATACACGTAGTATTATGGCAGACCTGCCATTTCGTAATAGTAGATAATAATAATAATAATATCAAGAAAGGGACAGGACAGACAAAAGCAGACATTTTCAACGAGAAATAACCCCCCCCCCCCACATACCACCTAAAAAAACCCACCACACACCCAGTCATTCCATACATAGATAATATCAGGAAATGGACCCGACAGAAAACAGCAGATTTCCCCCCCCCCTGAAGCAAACAACAGACAATAACACTACAGAGACAGGACACTAGACGGCCACTACCCACGACCAAACAGAATAACAAAGCAAAAAAAGAATAAAGGTGAAGCATTAAGGGACGTATGCGTATAACAAAAAAAGGCAGTTGGCCTCTTACCCCCCTGCCCAACTCATCACAGAACATGACAGCATAAGACAAGAAAGAAAATAAAAAGCCAACGGACTCCCTTCCCGGCAATTATTCTACTAGGGTTTGTACAAAACAGCCATGGTCATGAAATCTTCGTAACCCATCCGCACGCTTCCCGTCATGGCAGTGTCGCGCTGGCGGAACGCGTCCGTCAAGGACTTGAGCATCACGCACGACTGAATGAAGTTGTCCAGGGTCAGCGTGCGACGTCCGTAGTGGTCAAACTTGACCACCACCGTCTGGACAAACTGCGGCGACACATTGTAGCCCATGGTCTGGTAGGCTGGAGGAGGAAAGGAAAAACCCCAAAGAAAAAGTGTCAGTAAAAACGAAGAGCTCTCCTATCTGTGAGGCAAAACGTGGTGAAATCGGGCGCTCGTCAAAATAATGGAATTGAAGAAACAGACGTATATACGTCAGTTTGACCATTTTTTATAAAATTTTTGTTTTTTGGCTAAACATCCTTTATGTCTATTTAAAAACACATTTCTGTGTGGATTCTACTGAAAAAGGTTGATAAAAGGCACAAAAAATGTAAATTTTCAGTTTCCCAGGGTTCTCCAGTTCTGGAATTCATCAAGCTTTGGCAGCCATTTTCTCTCTATTTTTACCTATCAAACGAGGCGACCTCCATCTCCTTCAATCGCAAATATCTCGACTTCTATTGAAGATAGATAGTTAATTCTATCATCAAAAGCAGGACAAATGAACAGGTTTTAAGATAATACCAATAATCCATATGCCCAAAAATTGAAGAGCGCCTGGGTTCCACCACGTCGTGACACATTTGTCAAATTGAGTAGGTACATTATCCACGGATCAAGTAATATATTTGAGGCACCCTGGTGAAATCTAGCGCTCCTCAAAACAACGAAATCAAAGAAACAGGCTTTTTCCCCCCAGTTTGACAATTTTTACCGAATCTTTGTTGTTTTTTTCCAGCAATCGCTGAAAAGCAATTTGATATTGAAGTCGTCATAAAAGAATGTGTCCGAGCCAGTGCCAGGGGATCACTGGCACAGCAGTTCTGAAATTGCCAAAAAGCAATTTGACGTCGAATTCGTCACAAAGGAATGTGCCCGAGCCCCTGCCATCAGCTCACCAGTACAGCAATTCAGAGATAAGGAGTTAAAAGATACAGGAGATAGAGAATTCAACAGTCTGCTCAACAAAATCAACAATTCTTCTTTTTTTTTTCTTCTAATCGAGGCGTTTTTAAGGCCTCAACAACACAAACAACTTAATTAAAATAGACAATTTTTTAGTAACACTTCAACAAGCAATATTCTATTCAGTCTAAAGGACCCGTTCCCTGACTATTGGGCCAGCTGATATTGAATTATTTCATCCCATGCTGAGGCACACACTTAGGGCACAAAAGATGGAAGATATAACATGTACTTAGTGGAGCTCTCAGGTCTGTAAGGTTAAGACCAAGAAATAACAGGAATATATATATATCGTCACACTCATAAGATAAATGTTCTAGTCATTTTTAGCTGTTTTGAGAAAATAAGAAAAAAATCTACTTCTTTCAAACAATCGACTCTGGAAAACGCTTAAAGTTTAGTACACTTAATTGATTTTAATAACCCGATTCTTCTTTTGTCCAAGTGAACTATATTGCCAAGCTGGTTCTGCTCTTTATTTCGGAACCAAAAACTCCATATGGTTAAAAAATGATTGAGGCACTTATCTTATGAGCGAAACTATATATAATTCTATTAGAATTTTTAACTGTGTGTTAGTATTAATAATTGATCCAGCCATAAATGGGGCCCCTGATTTGAATCCAGGTAACCCATTAACACTTTGCCATCAAAGTCTCATATTTAAAAAAATCCTTGCCATCAAAGGCAAAGACATTTGGGGAATATCCACAGAAACAGGGTGGTAAACATTGCCGATCTGCCAGACGTGTCAACAAAGTGTTAAAAATAGGCAAAAACAAAACAAAAACTCCACCCTTCCCCGTGGGGGAAAAAAACCCAGCACTGACCTTGTTGCAACTCGTGACCCTCGATGGAGCCGGACTTGTTGGTGTCGAAGCGGTCAAAGGTCTGCCTCCACTGCTGGATGTAGTGCCACAGCGCCTGGAACTCGTACAGGTCGATGGTGCCGCTGAAGTCTTTGTCAAACATGCCTAGACAGGGGGGGGGGGGGGCAGAGCACAGAATATAAGATAAGATGCGATAAGATAAGATACGATAAGATACGACTTTATTATCCCAGATGGAAATTTTTCTTGGCCGTACAGGACCGTAAAAACACATGCAGGTATAGTATACATAAAAATTTTAAGTATACATTTCTCTCATTAACATTCAACATGAAAAGAGAAGTAAAGCTGACAAAATGTACATTATATTACATCAGATGCATCATTCAGGAATTTAATTACAAGACCTTTATAGTTATATATGTATAAGGTAGAGTTTTGTTATATAAGTATAAGGTAAAGTTTGCCACCAACACTGCTGACATGATTCTTATCAGCACAGCACAAAGCCACGAGCACTTTCTGGGAAACTGAGAATGATTCTGAGTGTTCTAGAGTCTACTAGGGTTATAACAGTTGTAAAGCACATAAGGCATGCTGTAGAGTGTAGATATGCACTACATAAATGCAATTATTAGTATTATTATTTATTATTATTAACACTATCATTATCATAAAAATTAATATTATTCTATTATCATCATTATTACCATTATTATCATTATTTTTATTACTAAATCCAAATTATAATTATTGAAATCATTCTTATTAATATTACTGTTATTATTATTATTACCAATACAATTTAAATATGATCAATTATTCTTGGTATTATTAATAAATATAATTGTTCTTGGTATTATAATTATTATTATTCTTGGTATTATTATTATTGTTGTCGTTATTCTAATTATTACAATTGTCAATATTACAAAGCACTGACCAATCATGAGCCTGCACGTCTCCTGGTTGAACTGCGTCCAGTTGGTGTTGACCAGCGCCCTCTGGAGCTCGTCGGCCGTGATTCTGCCTGAGCGGTCACCGTCCACCGACATAAACCACTGCTGCACCTGGGGGTCAACCGCTGGTTGCTGACCGTACCCTGCCGACAGACCAAACAATGATCATCACACGTTTCAGAAGGAAACGAGCCAAGACTAATTAAATAATGACGCAGACCCGGCAACCAAAAGGGGAACCATCTGAAAAAGCCTGCCAAGTACTCATAGTACTTTATTGGGGATTTATTTGGTTGGGTTTTTCTGGGGATGATTCGCTTTATCTATCGCTGCTCAGAATTTTGTTTCAGCAGGTCATCGTACTGCCAGATTTTCTTTAGTTTGAACCGTATTTTCAGTTTTGAGACATTGCTTAACCCATTCAGTGCTATGGACGAGAATACTTGCGAAACCCGGGCCACGGCCACATATACTATTGACGAGTATTCTCGCATTCTGCCTCGCTATCTTTATAGAAAGAATTACTCTATCCAATCCATACCAAGTTATTTGAACTAATCATGATGCGTTATGGGAAAGGTCAAGGAGACATTTTTTCTGCTCGAACAGCCATTGAGCCCGCTAGTTTTTATAGATTTTCCTGGGAAGACCTAATTTCATGTTGCCATAACAAAACTGCCCATTATATGAGGGGAGTTCACTGTTGGGGTGCTCAGCACTGAATGAGTCAAAGGGAAGGAAATAAACAATTGAGAGACTTAATTTTCATTTCCAGTTTACCGCTGTTTTCAGAGAAACCGTGCTCAGTTTATGTCTAAGCTGATTGCATCGTAGTTACATGTCTTAATCAATGTAAATACAACACATACCTACCTGGTTGGTGGGTGCTCTGGTGTGGTTTGCTCCTTCTGTCTTATCACACATCTATCGTCCTTATCTCCCCTACTCCTTTTTTGTGTTTGTTACGCTCTTGTAACTCTTCAAATCTTTTTTACCTTACTGTGTTGCAACTGCGGTAAAACTCTTACTTTAAACTAAAACCCACCTGGTTGAAACGGTTGTCCTGGGCCAGCGAAGCCAGCAGGGGGTCCTGGGGGTGCACCATAAGGGCCTGCGGGTGCACCATAAGGTCCCGGGGCACCTCCGTAAGGCGGCATGCCCGGGGCACCAGGAGGTGGGGCTCCATACCCAGGCTGTGGCTGTCCCTGGAACAATAAACAGCCCCATTGTCAGTACATTATTCTATCATTTATTGTGAAGCGTGCTCTGCTGACAAAAAGAGAGTTACTTACTTCTCCGATTCAAGTCTTCAGGAAAAAGATACATCACGCTTATAGGTGAAGTTTTTACCATTTTTATAAAAGTATGTGATTTTAATAAAAGATAGGTTATAAAAGTTATACATTATAGTTAAAGGGCATCAATAGAAAATCTACAGATTTGACTATCCTATTGTCAATTTTTAGCCAATATATTGTAGTGGATTACGAGAAGTAACATGTTTTGTCAGTACCCCTCACAATTAGTCAAACTTGCTGTAACGACCACCTGTCCAGGACAATCACCTAGGTAGTCTAGTGTTAAGGCTAGCAGATTCGTAATCGTGAGGTTGCAAGAGTGGGGCTTCGGGCCACGGGCCTGATGTTGTTTTTTCCTTCGGAGAGGCACTTTATTACACAAATTTTCATCACTCCACCCAGGTAGGAATGGGTAACTGGTCATACACTGTGAAAGATCTTGTCAGTATCATAAGTTAGGGTATTTTTGCACCTAAATGGCAGCTTGCACTGAATGCCTCCCAGGAAGTAGAGACTGTTTCAGAATGCTATCAGGCCTGCTGGGGTAATAATATCGATTGTAATTTATTGTAAAGCCTGTTCTTTAGGCCTGCAAAGCATTATAATGAGAATCACAAAATCTGTTGAATGCAAGGAAATTCTCTGGAAGGTGGTATAAAAGAAGTCCTATCCTTCGTAGTAAAAGTTTTTAAGAGGAAGAAAACTAGCCTACTGAGAAAAAAAAAAAGGTATTTATGCTACTCATCCTATATGACTGAATATTATAGACTAAGCAATATCCTCCTTCCCCCATAAAACAGACAAAAATAGAAGCATGCTTAAACATCCTGGTCATATTTTATTTTCGGGAGGAGTTCCGCAGAGGGAAGGCACTTAGAGTTTACCATGACAAGGTCCACTGAGCAAACTATAGCCTACAAAGAGGTAGGGTTAGGGTATATCCCACTCAAAATATCCACTCTTTTGTGTGTTGGTAGGCCGGCCCTCTGCAGAACTCCTTCCATAATATTCTCTATTCATTAGAAAATAAGTTAAATGAAAATGACTCTCACATTTCCATGATGACCCACATTTCCCACGGCCCATGGACACCAAAGCCCATAGTCTGGCATAGATCTGGTTGTGTGAACTAAATTAGCAATTGACACAAAAACTTGTCAACTAATTCTTGTGAAGATGGAATCACTTCAATTAATTAAAGCTTTAACTACACACACAACTAGACTAGATTCTTTCTAGAACACACAGCACAGCAGGAAGCAGAAGGGAGGCAGCAGACCAGTCAAAAGTCAGAAAAGACGAGTCATCTCTCTCTCTTCTCTCAATTAGATTAAATGTTTAATTTATGATGTTTAAAATACTCACATAATATGCCATGATGTTATTTTTTGGAGCAGCAACCTTGGAATTACAAAAACCAGGTACAGCGACAAAAAGAAGAGATGATCAAACTTATTTATTAGAGATGATCAACAGCTTTCACGGTCTTGTTGCGAAATACGGAAGTTCTTCAACAGGATTCTTTATAAGAGTTATATCCCCTATCATTTACCTTTTTGGATTCGGCTTTTAATTTGCAATAGTGATCATAATTAATTAATTAATTTAGGCTAGAATAAGTTTAGTGCGGGGTGGAAGGGGGGGGGGGGGGGTTATATATTTAATATTTTTGTTATTTATTTATTAAGCTTAAATAAGGGTGTATTTAAGGAATGTTACGATTTTTAAACAAAGAACACAGTACGAATTAAAATGTTCAAAGGAGGAAATAATGACAATAACAAGAATATTAATAAAATTGTTATCATAATGTAATGCTCTGCCAGTGAAATGTTATGTTTTCTCAATTAATAGTAGCTGGTGTGTGATAGAACATACAATTTTAATGAGTTGGGCGCGCCATTTGCTCAGTTGGCGTCATACTGCACTATTGCACGGATTGCTTTTGTCCGAATCCCAAACGGCGCATTCTCAATTTGGATTGTTTTAGGGAGTTTTAAAGGCTCCCAACTTACTTGGCTCGGCTCTGAGGAAGATAAAATTAAATATGTTAAAACCGGCCATCTCATCGAATAAATAACCGTATCGTGTTGAAAGGGGTGCCCAACCTATAGGGCCTGGAGTAGATTATTCTTAACAGCTTCCTGTGGGAAGCGAAGGGTATCTTTTTCAGCGGCAAATCCGTTTTAAGATCTAACACCTAGCCTTCTTGGATAAGGGCAAAGCATCGTGGAGGTCTCGTATGCAAGTTGTGCACGTTACTGATCCCTTGGTGGCCCAAAATCGATAAAAGCAGGCTTCGGCCGACACTCGGGCAAAATTCAAAATTTCCTACAAACTGAAAATTTGTTAATGTGTCCCGTGCGCTCATATTAATGTATGAGCTTATTATGCAGTTGCGAGCGCCGTAAAATACTTACCAAAAAAAATAAAAAATAAAATGATAGTACAAAAAAATACATGTAATTAAAATCACGTTTTCTTTCGGGCACAAGGCGAAAGCCTGCTCCGTCACAAGGCTTCTTTTGCTTTAGGCCTTTTGTCTTAGTAAGCCCTTTACGGCACTTGCAGCACGACAATTAGGTCATAAAACGCTGAAGATTAAGTTAAAGGTGTTTCAAGGGAGCAGCAAAATAAACCCCCCCTAAAAATAAAGAAAAGAGAAAAGGATGATACACATTTGATAGAAAAGAAGGGGCAAAGACCCCTATTTCCTCCCCGGGGCGCTGCTACTGACCGAAGTGTCTTAAGGCTGTTCCCAAAGGGGGGACATTAACTTCTTCTTATGCACAGTAGAATTGTAAATGGGCTGATTTATAATGTCATGCTCATAGCTAGCAGTTTCTGAACTGCCACGGGGACGTTGCTTTTTCTTTCCTAATCCTTACTACCGTCATTTTCCTCTTCTTCTTGTGTATGTTTGTCACACTCGCTCTTGTGACCCTCTATTTCCGAGGTGCCTTGATAGTCGAAGCAGACTTTGTGCTGTTGAAGCTAGAGAGGTGAGCAGGGTGAGCCTGATTCCCTGTTGACATCTACCCCTTGGCGCTCATATGATCTTATGCTGTTGCAAGCGCCTTAAAGACTCTACTAAAACTAAGAAGAAAATAATGAAGGAGCAAACCACACCAGAGCTCTCATCAACCACTCACCACAATGAGAATTCTGTAGGCTATAGGTCTACACGGTCACTAGACAACATTGTGCTGTTCATTTCTTTCAATTGGTTATCGATTTATTAATTAATTAATAACAGTGGTCCCCGCATGAGAGCACTCCGCAAAGGAACTCGGCCCGTCTAAGAGCCCGACCCGAGGTCAATTTATGCATGGAAAGAAAATTAATATCGAGCCTCTCGATCTCTCTGTTGGGACATTGTATTCCTGTTAGCCTGGTATGTTCTTGTGAGGCAGGGATAAAGCCTTCTTCTAAATCATCTACATTTGGTAAATTGTGTCTATGGGGCCATAAGAGCACACACAAACAGTACAATTTTAAAGACGCTAAATAGAACAGCTTTAACGGAGAGAACCAATTAATAGCTTTATTAAAGACAATTGAAAAGATTTATTTAAGAAAAACAAATCACATTTACTAGCTACCCGATAATGCACAAAGTCTCTAGCACAGTGACAGAGCACCCCTTTAATAGCTCAAGAACTAAATCAGCACAAGGACTCTCATCTCAAAGAATCCTTATAAATCTAAGCCTCTACTTGCACCTTGCCTCCCGCCTCGTTATTCACACAGCAGTACGAGAAATTAGTAGTTGGTGAGTTCAGTCGTGGACACAGTTGAGCTTTTGCCTCTCGGTTCAGACTCAGATTTTTGCCTCTCTTTTGGACCTGTCCCCTCTTTGTTTTTCCGGTTTGAACAGAATCGAGCAGACAATTTCCGGATCACGGGTTTGCGCATGACGAAGCATGCGATGACGTAGAGGCCCTGCGAGCCACTGAGCAAGATGTGCGGTGTCCACAAGAAGGTGGTGTTGACGAGAACGGCGGGGACGTAGAGCAGCCAGCTCACTCCCAGCAGCACGCTCAGACTCACACACAGCCACATCCGGGAGCGGTTCCTCCTGCACGCGCTTCTGCTAGCTCGCTGGAACTGGGCGCTTCTCCTGATGGCTCTCACGATGACCAGTGCGCACGAGAGGGAGGCGGAGAGAAGGAGGAGGGCGGGGAGACAGAAGGTCACCAGTAGCGAGGTCAGGTTGCCGAGCCAGCAGCGGTCGTGGGCGCCATAACCCAGAGACACGAGTCTCGTGCTGTCTAAGGCCACACACAGGCCAGTGAAGATAGCGGGCCCGCCCCAGCACACGAGACTGTACCTAGTGAAAGCCTTGACTCCACGACACACCCCCATGTGGCCCCGACTCTGGGCGGTCAGAACATAGGCCAGGTCACCGGACATGGCCGTCAACCAGGCGAAGGTGGAGAGCCAGCTGGCGTGGAGTAGGGCAGCGTGTAGGACACAGGCCAGACCTCGGGGGAAGCCCGCCAAAAGGAACAGCAGCTGACCCGTCATCAGGCTGCCAGAGAAGGACATGAGGATCTTCCCAGGGGTGTTGCGTAACTCTGGAAGGACGCCGTAGACTACAAGGACAACGGCTAGACAGACCAGGGACAGAGTGAGGGAGATCCAGGTGGCCAGAAGTTCTGCCTGGGACTCTGGGAGCCACACGAGCGTCACAACACGTGACTTGACCGTTGCGTCATAGGTGACGTTGTAGTGAGAGCACACGACAGCGCCGTCGTCAGTTAGAATGTATGAATGTCTGTCGTAGACGAGAAAGTCCCCAGCCTCCATGTCCCTGTCCAGGAAAGCGCGGACTTGTTCGGATGACGCATTGTGGATCAGTTCAAGAGACGCGGAGGCCTGGTCTAGAACGTTCTGAACTTCCTCTTGGTTTCTCGTCACTATCAGCACGCTGTTGATCAGAACCAAATCCGTTTGGTTGTAAAGTAAATACTTCTCACAAGACAGCTTCTCGTTAACAGGGTTTCTCAGGCAAATTCCAACTTTCACTGTGGCCTGTTTGCGAGAGAGGAGACTGATAATTTGGCTTTGGTTTACAGACAAACGAAACGCCACTGTGTTCAGGGATATATTATTATGCTCGTCAGATACGTGGACAACATACGTCCCGTTTCTTAGAGATAAAACCTTTTCTATGAATTCCACAGAGGTGCCAACAGGACAGTTAATTTTATCTCGAGACCAAACGTTAAACACGTCGAAATTCTTTACGACAAAATTGTGGTCTTTAGCATACGTCTTGAAAGTTTTCAACATGTCCGCCAAAGAGCCCAGAAAGTGTTGGAATGCGTCACTTCCGTCCAGTTTCACTTCTAGACGTAGACATGTCCCATTTGCACAGGGACGAGTGCATGACGTCACACCTCCATCACAATGGGGTGTGCGGTCACTCGCAGTCGATCTTGACGTCTTTTTATTCCCAGGTGTTGGAACAGAATTGAGTCTGGAAGCGCCATTAGAGTCAGGGTGTGTTGTCCGGAATTCTTTCGCTCCGGACATCGAAGGTGTTATATTCTTCTTTGACCCTCTCATGCTGTTACCACCGGTTCCCCAGACGTCAACGGTTGGAGTGAACAAGTCTGTCACGTAATTTGTCAGCTTGTCCGTCTGTTTGTCTGTTTGCCCCCTGACGTCTGAAGTACCGATGACACCCGAGTTCCTCGCCCCTGGGTCCGGAAATAACAACTCTCTCTTCCAGCAGCTCTGTTCATCGCACGAAAACAGCTCAGCTGCTGTAACCGACGCGTTCCACTTCTCAGCAAAAGTGAGGTCAAGACTTGTGGTCAGCTCATCTCCCAGTCTGACCGTATCGCCCTCCAGGTCCTCAGTGCCGGACCTCAGACTGACCCACGTGTAGGTGAGGAAGGCGCGGTCAAGCAGGCAGGCCATGCTGCAGTGGGATATTCCAGACAGATGGGGAAGGCTGTACTTACTGCCGCCAATCTCATTTGCTGACCGGTCCAAGGATATTGATTCAGACACACAATTAGACAGACACTCTCGCTGTTCAGGTTGGTCTATGTCCATAAAGGCGCAGCTAGATATGGTCTCGCCCAGACAGTTCTTTATCTCTTCTGCGATATGAGAAAAAGAGATTTGTAAGACCACAGAGGAGCTGCTGAAGTTGATGTCTTGTAGTATGTCGTGTTTTTCGCCGTCGTTGGTCGCGTTCTGCATGGGGCATGCCGACGTCACAGGGTGGTCACTGCCCGGTTCTGTCCCATGACGACATCTCTCGTGTTGTAACTCCTCTTTTCCTGGATACCACGTGACGACACAGTGGTCGTACAGCGGGACAAACACGTGACCTTCTGGACATGTTCGAGTCTCCGGGATCAGAAGAGTTTCATTGATCCTCAGCATGTGAGAACCAGATCGAAAGTCCATCAGCACTCGAAAACTGAGCATATTAGGTAGCTGAATAGTCGGTGGCACTTCACTTTGTATCATTTCAACATGTATATTGATTATTCCAGCATATGAGTGCTCGGGCGGAAGACAGTCACATACCGGCTTGTCACACTTCACTAGATCTCCATCAAACAAACTGAATATTGTTGGCGTTCTGCTTGGCTGATCCGAGGATAGAGAGACATACTTTCGGAAAAACAGAGAAGAGTTCTCAACTGAACCAGCAAAGCAATGTGGGTTTTTAAGCCTTACCATTTGGTCGTTCGCATTTATGGTAAAAGCATAGAGGTACCTTTCACACAAATTGGCATCAATTGTTACATTTCTGAATGGAGTCTCCTTGTGCCCCAAGCTTGTTTCATTTGAAGAATTTCTCATTTTAGAATCTTGAAGACTTGTTGACAAGTCCTGTTTGATCGGGCTGTTTTGATCCCCTTCAATGCCATTCAAAGACATGTTGCACCTCTCCGGTCCAGTATTTCTTAACTTTTCATGCTGGTGTTGTCGACTGCCAGAGGTGTAATCATTCTTAAGTGAGCTCTCAACAACTTCTCCCTCCCCAAAAGAGCAGTCACTTCCCTGTTCTCTTCCTCCTCCTCTTCCTCCTCCTCCTCCTACTTCTCCTCCTCCTCCTCCTCCTCCTCGGCCCTCCCCTTCCTGGGATGTGCCTGTCGTCCTCACGTCGTCAAACGACAGATCTCCGTACGGGGGCACACAGGTTCTCACAAGCTGTTTAGAATTTGGCCAAACCGTTGTGGTACAGTTTGAGTTGGCGAATGTGTTCTGGAGATTCCTCAGCGACCACGGTACGTGCCCCACGTCTGCGCAAGAGAGCGTCGCGTTCCACTGGTCAACATCCTCAGGGCTGACTCCATTACAAATGGCGCAGAAGACGTTGTAAAAGTGGGCAGTCCGCAGGTCTTTGTGAGAGACATGAATGGCGTCCAGTAGATGTTTGTTCTGAGATCTGCCCAGGCTCTCACAACGACCCACAATGTCTGATCTGGTCAGTCCCAGTAACATGTTGACCACTTGACCATCTGTCTCACGGACACTGATGTCCTTCAGGATCTCCAAAAACCTGGTCACCAGAATGCTCTTGTGACTACACTTGGTCACCATCTGGTAAGACGGTATTGTGGGACGCGACGAGGGGACACAGGAGGTCACTTCTTTCCACATGTACCACAACTCAAAGTCCAGGGCCTGGGAATAGGCAGAGAGAGGCTCCAGAGAAGCTTCCAGAAGTCTGACGGGGGAGGTGAAAATGCTGAGACGTAAGCACAAGAAGTAAAAGTCGTAGCAACAGTCGCCGTAGATCCAACACATGAGGTCACAGGAGCAGGGGAATTCGCCCTCGTTCTCCACGTCATCGCGGCCAGTGGCCCTGTGCTCACCACACTGTCCATTACAACTTCCGTAAGACGGACAGTCAGGAGCGGGGAGGCGAGGCGGACAGGTAATCGGTTTTACGCCTTGTCCACGCCCAGATAGGATCTGTCCAGGTACAGGCACAGGTGTAAAAGGGCCTGCTGATACGCCAATCTCATGAGGCCAAACGTGATCCTGTATCGTTGACGAATTATGCACTGGAATTTTAGAGTTAGGACGTTGGGAGCGAGGATTTAGCCCTAGCCCTAAGCTTTGTTCAGGAACTTTTAATGGATGTGGAGTGTGGACGCTGGATCTAAACCCCAACTCTTCAGTTGGAGTCGTGTGTAAGGGTAACGTGCTTACCGTTCTATCACCTTTGTTACTAGAACTGATTGGTGTCAGCAGAGGATGGGTAACCTGGCTCGAGTATGGTAAAACAGACCGGGACGTCACATCCGGTTTTCCCAAGGGGAAGAAACTCTCCTTGATGTCCTCGCTGGGACGTTGATCTCTCCCTGAAGATGCCGCTGGCACGTCTGTCTGGGGTGAATCTTGTACTGCTAGGACTGCCATCCAAGCAACATCTAAGTTTATGAAAAGAAAGGGAATTTGGGTGGGTTGGGGGCGGGGGATAAGGGATTGG